AATAATATAAAAGGGCAATGCATTCCTAAAGAAACTTTATTCATATTTGATTTATATGTTCTCATAACATTGAAAGAATGTTCTCAGAACAACATTCTCAAAATGTCTTTATGCTGTTTGTAATTCAACATTAGAAGAAAGTTTTCGTAACCTTTAAATAACATTATAATCAACAAGAAAACTGGACATTTCAATGTTTTTAGAATATTAAACATAAACGTTCAAATGTTACATTTTGGGTAAAAATAAAAAGAACGACTTTCTATGTTTTTCCACAGAAAAACAGCTTCTACCTGCAGGTCATCAGAACCCTTAATAAACTGTAAAGCTGTTTCTAAAATGGCACTATTATCCCCCATCATATCAAAGGACTATATAAACATTATGTCTTTTGAATCTTGCACACTTTGCACAAATACATTACATTACATACCTCAAAGCAAAGTCTCCACCTCAACCTTGCACCTGCGCACTTTTTATTTTATTTTATTTATTTATTGTTATTGTATTGTGAATCTGTTGTAACCACTATTCTACATTCCTGTTTCTTACATTTGTCTTGCTTGCCCCTTTATCATTTATTTCCATTATTAGTATTAATAATACATAATAATGCACACAGAGTTATTACCACAAAGATTGCAGGTTTTCATGAATTTCCAACCAGTAGATGTCACTGTCCCAAACCAGTTCCACTAACCTCAGGTCACGCTAGGTGTTTACATGCACTCATTTTTGTCAAATGAAATGAATCCAATCCGATTTCAGATTCTTAAAGTTCTGGCACATGCACAGTGCCATGATGCGTATGTTTACATATGTTGCACATCATACAAACGTGAGTATATTTTACATTGCATGTCTTACAAACCGGTCAGTGGACGAGACTGAACATTTGCTAAATATCTGCTAAAAAATGTTATTAGGTATGTCATCAAGGCACTGCACATGTGCTGAAGTTTTCTTCATAATACATGTAATGCACCTGTAAATGAATCGGATTACAGTGCTTAGGGTTCATATATACACTTGGCCACACGTCACTTCACTATATCACTATAACGAGAACTTTAAGAATCCGTAATTGAATTGATATGAAAATATGAAATCTGGTCCTGCAGCCAAACTAACCTTAAGGCTGCTTCCAAAATCTCAAACTATCCCTACTATTTAGTAGGCAAAAAAACATGAGAAAAGAGAAAATTCTGAAGTGTACATCTGATGCACACTTTATTATCCAGTGTCCAAGGTAACAAATTTAGGTTATATAAACATTGTTTTGAAATGTTCCTAAAATGTTAAGAACGTTTTGTCCTAACATTTATAAATGTTAGGACAAAACATTTTAGGAACATTTCAAAACAATGTTTATATAACCTACATTTTATATAAATAATATAACTTCTGAAAAATGTTAGCTGGGGTAGTACATCTGGAATACATTTATACTACATAGAATATACTTTTTGATTGGTCGCATTATTCAAAACAAGCACCTATTCAGAGAGTATGCCTAAAAGTGTCAAAGTCCAACTCCGCCTCACCTTTGAGGATGGACATGTTAATGAGGGTGCGGATCTCAGGCGTGGGATTGGCTGCAGGCTGGGAGGCGGGGCTTAGGGGCGGGTCTAAGTGGTCTTAGCAGTTCTACAAAAGGCAGCAATGTCAATTCAGGTCGATGCAGTGTCAAATCAGCTCTACAGAAGACTCTAGTGCATGATCCAGCTTAGTTCAGTTGAAGCTGTGTTCACATCCGATCTGATCGTCTCATCTCATCAGACATGTACTGTGTGTGAGCTGTGCATGTGTGTTTATAAACTCTGCAGGTAGATCATTGGCAGCAGCATATGGAGGAGCGCTTCAGTCCAGCTTATTAGTCTAAGCAGTAAATATGTGCAGCCCTATTGTAAACAACACATGGCATTGTGGGTGGAAATGATGCCATGCTGAGGAAACCCTGCCAAGATCGAACCCAAGCCAGTCAATGAAGTGAGAAATGTGTTGGATTCTCTCAATCAGACATGAACGATTCCTCAGATCACGTTTGTTGAGAAATTTTCAGTGATGCCAGAAGACCCTTTCAGTGATCACTTCTTGAAAGAACCATTTTTCTTAATGTGAAGAATATTTTAGCACTCTAAAGAACATTTTTACGCAATAAATAATCCTTTGTGCAGTGTGGAAATGTTCCATGGATGTTAAAGGGACAGTTCACCCAAAAATGAAAATGTGCTGTTACTTTACTCACCCTCAGGCCATCCCATATGTAGGTGACTTTCAGTAGAACAGCAAAGAAGATTTTAGCTGTAAATCTTTATATCCTCAGGCAAACACAGTGATGTTCGGTTCACGAACGAATCATTATTTTGAACCGATTCATTTTGGTGAACTAGTTCATCATTCCAGACCGTTTGCCTGAGGCTCTGGATTACAGGTAATAATGTTCATTTTCTTGCACATACTGATTGTTTCGCTTCATAAGACCTGAATAGTGGGTTTT